ATGCCGGGATGTCCCTCCCAGCCGGGGGTCAGAGCCTGGCGCCCACCCGGAGCCGCTCCTTGCCGTCCCCTCCCCGCAGGACAGCCCCTTCCCTGCCGCCGCCCCCGTGGGGCTCCGGGGCTGCTGTGACTAACGCAGCCGGAGCAGGGACGGAGGAACGTCCCTGCTTTAAACATTTCCTCCGAGTTTCTGACTCGGGTCCCGAAGCAGCGTGTCCTGGAGCAGCCGAATCCCGCTGCCGGGACGCGAGTTCCCCCTCACGCTGCCCCAGACAATCCCGCTCGGGTTCACTACGGTCCGAAATCCTGAAATTAGGGTCACGCAAATAGGAAGAGTCCAAGGTGTGTGTCAGCCCCGCGGGAGCCAACAGCCGGACAAGAGCGTGTTGTCTCTCCAGGCTGAAGGAGAAGGTTGTTCTGCCGGTGAGGCTGTTTACACAAAACACAAAGCAATTGAGGCCACCGCTAATTTCTTTTCCCTGAGGTCAGATTGTTTCTACTCAACGATACCGGAAACATTAAGGAGTGGATCGACAAGGGAACACAGTCACGGTCTCCTAAACGCCAGCCTGGCACCCGCAGGGTGACTGGGGCTGCTGACCTGCAGCTCGGCCGTGGCCACGTCCCGCACGGCTGCTCCCCACAAATCCCTGCTGGCAACAGGGAGGGACAAGCATTTAATGAAATGCTCCTGTCCGACCTGTGTCAAACTGCTGGTCTCTGCTTTGCCACCTCCACCTGACCCAGCTCTTCCTGCCCAAAGCTTCCTCTCCAGAAGCAGAGGGGCCAGGTACCTCCTTCCCAGCCAGGAGTTTGGCCGATGGAGTAGTGCCGAGAGCTGCTCGAGCAGTCCTGGCCGGTGAGCAGGGAGCAGCAAACACATCCCCACTCAGCTCTGCTCTGCTTGGAGCATGTGAGGAGCACGGTCCCAGGTGAGCAAGCAGTGCTGGCAGAACACCACGTCCAGCACCGGCCCCTGCAGGGCTCTGCCTGCTGCTGGGGCACCGCGTGCCCACAGCCACCGGAGCCAAAAGGCCAAGGCTGCCACAGGTGCAGTGCTTGCACTGGCCCTGCCATGGGTGACTCTTGGGTTGTGAGACGCAACATGGTTTGACTCAGCTCTGTTAAACGATGCTCTTTGTTCAGGTGAGCCTTGCCCAGAACCTGCCCGCTTCTCAGCATTGCCACAAAGCGGGGAATGCTGCCCAAGGCCCTGTAGGTTGACTCTGTGGCTGCCCCCATACAGGGGTCCCTGCCAGGGCCCATGCTCTGCCCAGGCTCAGGAACGCAGCCCAGGCTGGCAGGGAGCCCCAGGTATCCAACAAGAGACACAGAGCCCGGAAGGGATCTCAGCTTGGTTCCTGGCAGGCTCATGTCTCCTTATCAAGGGCTTCCATCGTGAAACGAGATGCCTTGGAAAATCCCAGAGGAGCAGGGGAGTATCCCAGTCCAGTGAGGCCCCTGCAGACAGGAGAGGAAATTAGGGGTGAAGTTCACTGCAGCTGCTGCCCTCCCACACACCCCTTGTGAGTGGTCTGAGAAATTCCCTAAATGATCCCCCAAACACCACTCCACAGCAGAACTTGGCAGGGGGGAGGCAGCTCAGGCAGGGGAACAGGTCCTCTCCTGACCTGGCCAGGGACACCAATCTACAGCCAGCTTGGCCTGAAACCAGAGGGCTCCTGTTCCACAATCAGGCGCCCACTGCAGCTCCCCAGCGCTATCAGGGTGACATTTCTGGGCTGCAGGTGCCAGTGCCTGCCTTCGCTTTGAGGAACCGCCACAATCAGAGAACATAACCCATTTCTCGCCTGCATTTGGCTGCCAGAAAGAGTACAGAGGACTGTGCAATCACTCTCCTCGGAATTAGATCATGAATCAAAGCCCTGCTCAGCCCCAGGCTCCACCAAGCCCTGCCAGGAATTGTCTGTTCTGATCCCAGAGCTTGGGGCAGGATCACAGAGGGACCAGGGTGGGTCTGGATGAAGGGGATGTACAATTGGGGCTGCACAGCACAAGGTGCCTGTCCCAGGAGTGCTCCAGGGCTTGTTTTACTGTTGGCTTCACCACCCATGAAACCTTCTGTGTCTCTAACCCTAACTCACAGGAGTTCAGGGAGGTGGAGATGGCACCCAAACCTCAGCCCTGGCTGCAACCCTGGGCAGATCACTGCAGAGGATTTCCTCAGTCCAGAGGCACAGATGGGACCTGCCTGCACATTCATCCCAACATATCAAGTTATCAAACTGAAACAGTTCTTGCTCCTGAGCAGCTGCATTCAAATAAAACCTCTCTTGGAATCTTTCCTCCTTGACCAGTGGAATCCGAGTGTGCCCAGCCTGATAGTGCCTTATCTTGGCCCCAGCCCCTCTGAGCTCTGCCTCGCCCTGGCCAGCGAGCCCTAATCATCACGGCCAGACGTGGCAAGGGCCTCTGAGGGGCCACAGGAGGAGGGGGTTGTGCCAGCTGCTCCCCCCACCCAAAACCACGCTGAGCCACCTCCTCCAGCGAGCCCCTCCCCAGGGCTGTGTGGCTGGGCTGGACAGCACCTCCACACAGGGACATCTGCTCCCTCCAGGGCGGCAGCACCAGCCAGCAGCAGCTGCACTGCTGCCAGGACTCATGGCACAGCCTCAGCAGTGACACTTCAGCCTCAGCAGTGACACCTCAGCCTCAGCAGTGACACCTCTCTGCAGCAGCACTGCCCAGCCCAGGGAAGCTGGTCCCACGGGGTGCCCACAGGTACAGCTGGATGTGGCTTCTATAACCAGCCCAGAGGGTGTGGAAAAGGAATTTTACACAATGTCCACTCCGCAGAGGGGACGTACTCTTCCTCCTCCTCCTCCTTCTCCCCCGCCTCACTGAGTAAGCAGTAAATAGAAAGCTGAAAAAGAGAAGGGAATTGCTGCCAGGAGTGGCTTGGAATGAAAAGCTGGTTTTAGGCTTATCTAATGTCACATCAGCCATTTCCTAAGAAGGGAGCAAATTTAATTAAGAACACAGACTCCCTCAAGGACAGCCAGGTTACATACGGCACTCCCAGCCTGGAACACGGTGCTGGGAGGTCAGAATCGTGCACACAGACAGCAAGAACAGACACTCCAGGCCGGCTGCTGAAGGCTCATTGTTTGGGGTCAAATGCAGACACCTTCAGGCACAGCACCCTGGCTCTCTGCAGGGGTACAGGAGCAGCAGGGCAGGCAGAGCAACCACGGAGGGAAGGGAAAATGCAGGTGGCATGGGGAGGAAAGCTGAGGCAGATCTTGGACATGGAAACAAACCCAGGGCAGACACTGGGAGCACATAAATCCTACACACAGACTTTGCTGGCTGCAGACATAGAGGGATGATCCCTGATCAAGCAGAGACTGTGCCAGTTGTGGGGACAGATGCACTGCAGAGCTCGTGGGACATGCCATGGCACAGCTGGGTTTGCTCAGCACTGTCAGTGCACAGCAGGACCGTGACAGAGCTCGCAGGGGTGGTGGTCCTCAGAAAAGAGCCCACACTAGCCCATTGTGCCAGTGACTCATTACAAGCACTGCTGGTGCCTCTGTTCAGCAGTGAAGTGCTGGCACTCAGGAATTCTTCCACAGCACTGCTGAGCCTGGCATGGAGAGGAAGCCTGGGCTCCAGCACAGTTCCAGAGCAATGTGCCCACACCAGGGCAGCACATCCCACCGAGTTCAGGTCAACGGGCTCCTGCTACTAAACAAATTTTTACATTTCACAGCTAGACTCCAGCATCTCACTGACATCAGCTGTCAGGAGCAGGTGAGCCAGTGCTGGGTTGTCCCCGAGGGCAGGGAACACCAGACAGGGGCAGACAGTGGCAGCCTGTTGGGGTGCCAGTGTCATCTGCTCTGCTGGACCCCCCAGACTGACCACACTGGCCTGACCTGAGGTCACTCCAGCACTGCTCCCAAGCTCTGCCAGTGCCATGCACACAGCGATCAGGGCAAGGTGATCCTGTCCCAGCACAGCCATCTGCTTCCCCAGGACTGACAGGGTCAGCAACTGCACCTGGGCCATGGTTCCTGACAAGGTGAGGACTTTGTTATCAACACTGAGAGCCTAAAGCTGAGTCATCCCTCTCCCAGCCACAGTGGTACAGAGCTTACCCCATCACCTCTGCACAAGCCCAGGGGCTTCCAGCAGGCTGCACATGCAAATTTTAAGTAAATGTTGTCCTGAGGAGGGCAGTGAGTGTCCCCACAGGCCACAACTCTGTCAAGTGGAGAAATGCACTTGTGCTGCTGCTTCCCACCCTGGAACCACTGCATTTCCCTGGGGTAGCGAGGAAATATGACTGAAGGGCAGAAATGTGGTACACTGCTCTGTTTTGCTTCTGATGGAAAAATAAAGATAGATGAAAATAGCCAGGCTGCTCTATAAATACATCTCATTTTAATCACCTGAAATTAGTTCCCTGGCTTCCCCCAGCCTGCTTGGCAGCAAGTGCATTTCCTTATGCCACTGAGGGCTTCCACAGCGTAGCAATAATCGTCAGTCCCCAGCTCCTGCCTCGCCCCTGGCACTGCAGCAGGACTGCAGGACCCAGGCTCGTGGCTGGCAGGGATACAGGGGGGCCTCTGAGGCCAAGCTTGACCAGCCAGCTGGGACTGCTTCGAGGCCATCACAGAACAGGGACCATCAGCAGTCCAGTTTCACTTCTGGGTGGTCCCTCTCAGAACTGCCTAGAGCAGCTTTAGCCTCTCAAGCACATCAACAGGGAGAACAGACAGACAGAGGATCTCAGGATATTCCTAAGTCTTTGGAAGGGCTCGCAGACTCATCTTGACCCAAGAAATCCCAAGATGCAGCTACTTGCAGTCACAGTTTGAAGCCAGGCCCAGAGAGCAATGCTTGGCTGTGAGACCTGGGACTGCAGTGGGCAAGGGGAGGAGACTCCTGTCAGAAGAACTTGACGCCTCGGCCGTCATCCAGCGTGATAATCTCAGCCTTGTGCTCCTGCTGCAAGGCTTGCAGGGCTCGGAGCAGCGTAGCCTCATCCAAGCCATGAAACTCTAGGGAAGGACAACAGGAAAAAAAATAACATCAGGAAACAAACAGGCTTGTGGAGTCCAGAGACTGGGGGCAGTGATGCTGAGGGCTCTGAAAAGCACCGTAACACTACAGCAAATCCAGAGTCATGGCTACACTGACAAGCTCATCTCTACATCTCTGCTTTGGGAACAGAGCCTAAAGGTCATCAGACAGCAGTGATGAGTCACAGCAGCCTGGAATGCAAAGCAGGAGCTTGTCTTGAAAATAAAACACCCCTTACCATGCCAGATAAAATGATAGGCACTGGGGAAAATGCAGTTACAGAGGGGGATGTTCCTGCAAAGTGATAAAAGCCTTTGGAGCAGCACGTGCCAATGGTACGAAAGGGTGACTTTGCATTTGAAATTTCAAAATATTTAATTCACAAAACTTTAGTCTGACAGTCAACTGTCTCCATGCCCCAATCCAGTGTGCTCTGAAAACCTGCTCCAGAACATGAGCCCCAACTTTACCTTCATTCTCTGTATCATCTCCACTGGCCAGTTCATACAGTGTGAACACAGAGTTGGTCAGGCCATTCCTTGACACCTGGAAACACAAAGGCAATATAGCAGATTTCACCTGTGTGGCTGAACATCCTTGTCCGGTCTCTCACACATCCTGGAGCGTGTAACACAGAGCGTGCACAGCACTTGATAAACAGGAGCACTCTGGACACACGCTGGGGCAGAGGAGTCAGGAGGTGCAGGCTGAGGGAATAAAGACAATCCTGCTGCTTTGCTCTTCCTGCCTGTGTGTTTCACAGTGAGGACTTGGGCCATACAGAGTCCAGGCAGTGACACTGCCCTGCCCTCCCCACGGGACAGCCAACAGAACCGAGGGTGGACAACACCACCCACCGCTCACACTGCAGCTCACAGCAAGTGACAAGCTGCTAATGAGTCCTCCCCTCTCTGCAACAGAGAGAAGTGCAAGGAGAAAGGTAAAAGCAGTGAGGAAGCAAGCAGTGGTCTTTTCCAAGTGGCAGCCAGGACCCCCCATCCTCATGGACACAGCCTGCTCTGGGTGTGTAGTCCCTGTGCTCTCACCCATTGATAGATGAGCTTTCCCCATTCTTCTGGTCTCTTCCACATGATCAGGAAGCTGGTTTTGTTTTTATCTAACCATTCCAGGTTCCCTAGAAACAATAGGGAACAGGGATTTAAGCAGAGCACAAGTCAGAAATAAGGACCAAACATGCAGATTTCAGGACACACGCAAACACTGCACCCAGAGGCAGCCTCGCGGACCAGCCCCTGCCCTACAGTCCACGCCGACTTCCTAAATATTGCCGTGTCTACAGACAGTGATTTCTCTGTCGAGCCCTCTCCTCCCACCCAGCTAAATCTGCCTGCAAAGGCAGGGCCGGGTCCTGCAGAGCCGCGAGCAGGCCCGGCCCGAGGAGCTGATCCCCCAGCCGGGGACGGGCAAGCCCCGGCCCCGGAGCTGCCCAGGGGCTGCTGCCCTCCCTGCCCTGCGCCCTGCGGGCACCGGCCGCGGCCGGGAGCAGGGACGGACGAACGGACGAGGCACCCACCGTTCTTGCGGAGCTCCTCCAGCACCACCTGGATGGATTCCAGCGGCAGCTTCCCTGGGCGTGGGTTAAGGAAGCGTTGACGGAGGTGTGGGACAGGGGCGGTGGGGCCGCGGGCGGTGG